CCCTTGAGCTTCATGTGAAACTTCACAATCAACCCATAACCGACGCTTATCGATAACGCTGTTCATCGACAAATCATAATCGCTCTTCTATCTGCATGAAAAAAATGTAGATCATGCCGCTGTGAAAACTAGACCTCACAATTGGTATTTTCACGACATAAGAAATGAAATGATATCTGACACTGTACGACTGTAGAGACGTGATACTTTATTTTTTTGCAATTTTTAAAAATAACTAATCAGATCTTACATTATACGAGTATATCTGATAATGTAGGAGAAAACTGTATTACATAATATCTGAGTTTAGCTCCTATTTTTATAATAATAAAAAAGAGTTTTACCGTAACCAAGAGGAGAATTAGAACAAGGAAAATACCTGTTTTTCAATCTTCCGTTTCCATATCCTGAGGACTTAAAGAGGATATGAAGGACCGCATTCACTGATACTCCATAAAACAGTAAGGAGAGGAGCCTTCTGAAATGTACTACATTTACTACATTTAGGGGAAGATCAACCTATATCGCCTGCCCACCCAAGGGACAGATATGTGCATGGGTAAAGGGTTGTACTGTTACAGGCAGTAACATGAATGCATATAGAAATGCCTCCACTGGTTAAACAATTTAGGAAAAATATTACCGCCAATATTGGCCCGATGTTTTTCTGTGTGGTAATCCCAATAATTGGTCACTGTATATCCTTTGGGAGTGGATATTAATCCCATATTACAGTATTACTGGTGTGGTTTCATCAAATGTTCATTCGTATTACGCATTTGCAGAAACGGGTTCTCATAGGGAATATGAGCTTGATTATTTCCTGGACTCCATGATTCTGTCTCGAACATGCGGAAACAAATGATGAATTGTCCGACTTTATTGATAGCTACAATGAGGCGAGCCGAGACATATGGCGAGATACTAAACACTCCTATGAGGGACGATTCCAGGGAAAGCGAGAAAGGTACTTCTGTGTTCTGTGCGAAAAGCGAGGCCTTTACCTCCATCTACTGGCATGAAGGAGAACTTCAGCACTTCCCAAAAACTTCGGTCACCTTTTTTTTCCCAAAAAAGTGCGGTCGAGCACATTGGACCATCGCTTCGGTCCGATATTGGGTCGATGATGGAATGGCAATATTTGGAGAGCCAATATTTAGCTTATATTGACAATATTGGCGAAGGTGGAGAACGCACCCAATATTGGCCCAGCATTGAGCCAATATCTGGTGCTACTGGGATAGCAAACCGGTTTCTAATAGATTATTTTCTGTGATACCATGGCTTGAAAGAAATCCCCTTAGTCCCCTTTTTACTTCTACGTTTGGTTCTCATGCCTGTTGAGTGGAACACTTCGTTCGGGAATGAAAGGGAAATTTTTGTCGGGATTTTTTTTCCTTCGAGGATCGTCAGAGGAGAATCCTTTGGGGAAATCCTCTTTTGAAGAAAAACCTTCCTGGAATAAGACCGTTCTGAAAAAAGTCTGCTTTGGGAAACTTTCTTTCGGGGAAAAGTTCGTCCTGGGAAATATCCTTTGGGGAAGCGTCCGTGAATCGTGCAAAATTAAGCAAATCTAATATATATTTTAAAATATTCCGTAAATAAATGTTTGAATCAGGAGGTCCCTACCTACTACTTGTATAAGGCATTCCAGCTTATGTGATCAAATGGTGGTTTGCACATGCGACAGGGTTTTACATGAGAAAGTTCATCCATGATTTCCTCCCTAAGTTACAAAAATACTCCAAATTTCAGCGCTCTAGTGCCAACAGGTCTCAAGGAATTCAATCTCAAAGTTAGCCACCAGGGAGAAATGAGACTCCAAGATCTAAACGGCTACCTTCTGTCATAATAGAGCTATGAATGAGCTTTTGGGCTCAAATGAAAGCTAAGACAAAGCTGAACCAGAATTAACTGATGTACTTCTCTGGAATTTCCTTACAAAGAAGCCATGGATTACTTTAATGTTTAAAAATTCTAAATCTATCATTAAATCATGGCCTAAAGGAACTGACCCAGGAGGATGCATGCAACGGCAATGATGAAGCAGGCAACGTAACCACGGACAGGATCGTTATTGGGTCCGGAACCTACTCCAAAGAAGCCGATGCCAGGGTACAGCTTATCCCTGGCCAAAGCCTACGAATTGGAATACATTAGTCCCAAATGAATTAAAAAGGCAACGTGTAAATTCCAAGTGCGGCGAAAGGTAAACACAAAAAAAACGCAATTGAAAACATTATCAAGCTTTACGAAAAGGATTAAAGTGGAAGGACTTTGGCTCCTGTATCACTTACGCGTTACGTTGTGGTATGGGTGTCTTGCAAGAAATTATCCAATCATCTGTTACAGTCTGGTAAAAATAAAAATAAACCATTGGCCTCTCTTTGAACTTTATGCAACACTTGCAACAAATATTCGGAATCTTGTTTTCCATGGATATATAGGATGCATGCAAAACGATGCAAACAGCATGAGGAAAAAATATATTCTAATTTGATCTGGAACCTTTCACATGCACTTGTGAAGCTAAGTTCTTTCAAGTCCAGCAACATTTATTTCCCCAAGTCCAGGAAGTTTGTCATTCCCCGAAATAGGGTTTCTACAGATCCTAATGCCTTGATATCTGCTCAATGAGTGCATGTTCTTGCCGTGGTTTTGATTTGCTGTCGCACATGAGTTTCACATGAGTTTCGCAGCTGTCAATACTTTTTGCTTGAGGTGTTATGCAAGTCAAAACATTTTTAAAGAAACGCATAGGTTAATTTCCGATGTAGGAGATTCTGTCATTGGTGTGTGTTGAAAAAAAGGCGAAGCAAAACGCAGTTTAACATTTAAGTAGGCATGAAGGGCTGGTTGCAGGAAACAGCCGCCAACATCCCAAAGAAGCGAAAGATCAATGAAAAGACTCGCCTGGAAGACGCGAGGAGCACCAATGAGACTACCGATGGCGGAGGAGAGTGTGGCCGCGAAGCACCCGCCGTATATCAATGGATACCATGCTGCTGCCGTCGTCATCATCTGCAACAGCAATACCTTAATTGTGATGCTCTCGTGAGACAGTGGAGCCAGGATATATGTTGAAAGGGAACCTGGTTGCTGTTCTTCAGTCCCCAATTACAAGAGCGAGAAGTGCAATTGAAAGCAGGTGAATCTAAGATGTCGGCGAGATTCTTGTCCAGTTCGGAGATATCTCCGGATGCATCCCTCACCTCACAACCAGCCATCATAACCGCATATCCAATGTACGAGAAATACGTCAGAATCATCGCTGCCAAAGTTCCCTTAGGGATTGCCGACGACGGGTCCTTGAAAATACGAAGTTAAGTACAGCACCATGAATCACTTTGGTTTCCTTCCGAAGCCTTAATAGACGTATTTTAAAATCTCTCTGCTTTATGAATTCTTTTCAGTTTAATTCCCTCGTATTCTTTAAAGGAGTGTTTCCGTCTTATCATTCCAGCTGTCACGTTCTACATTGAAATTAGCTTCTCAGGATAAGCTACCTTCAGGTCACCAGAGAGGTTGGCACCAGCAACGATCCCAGTGACAGCAGGAAAGAAGATGGCAAAGACGCTGAAGAAGTTCTGGTCCTTTCTCTCGACCCCGGAAGGCCCATAGGCAGATTGCCAGTTCTGCTTGAAGACATCTCCTGCCGAGACCAAGACAGGATTCATCCTCCTCTTCCTCCACCAGAGTCTCCGGTATTAATAAAGACAGAAAGTGTTTTTGTACTCCTGTATCCAACGAAGCCGCGAGCCAGATTTTTATCATCTGTTGGGCCCATGATGGTTCCGATGATAAAGTCTGCCTGTGAGGCTAGCAGGATGCCTAGGAGCAGAAACTCCGTCTACAAAATGTAAAAAAGAAAACTTCACGACTGGAATAAGCATTTTCCATTTGCGATTTGATCAGGAACTCAAAGAACGACCTGCTAATAGCACATCTTTCTAACACTGTTATCAGATGTGGGGAACCGAAGAGGGGGGTGGGGGAAGAGGAACTACTGCAGATCGACACAATATGTTGGCAGTTGTAGGGGCGAAAAAAGGGAAAGGGGGAAACATGGAAATGTTTCGCGAAGTGGCGCCATGAAATAAAACAATTTTATGTGTATCATCCACGCCAGATTGGTTAAAACGTTGGAATGAAATATGGCGAACAAAAAACAAAATTTGGATAAATGTCAATCATTCAAGTGTCAGACAGTGGCATATTGTCCTTTATTGCAAAACGTTCACTTGTCGGGTAGATTTCAAACCAGGTGGATGTCCCCTCAGGCGATGTCGAACTGACTAAAAATCCACCCGGCCCAGGGGAGGTGGGGTGGGGATACTCTTGGCTTAAGAAACGCGAATGACCAGATAGATTTCCGCTGTAGGGAAAATCCACACGGTTCTAAATCCACCTCCTATCCACCGGTCGTTCATCCAGGTGGATGCAAGTGTACGTTTTGCATGGGATTGGAATTCTATAACTGTACAAGACATTCCATTCCCCGGATTTGAATTCGATTTCAACTTTGCCAATGCCCCCTCCTCCCCTCACGCAGCTCCGACATCTTCAAAAAACTAATAATTCCCGGTCATACCTGTCGTTGGACAAACTTGACACGCTTTCTTTCACTGCCTGACCGAGCCGAGTGGACTGCTAAATTTGCCTATAGTCCCCTTCATACAAGGAGTTGAAGTTAAAGGAAAAGAACTAACCCGAGTGACCCAGTTCATTCCAACGAAAACAATGATGAAGATAACGACAATGGAGATACAGCCAAACACCCGAGTGAAGTTTTCTCCTCCGCCGATCAGGCTAGTGGAAAATTCGTTGGCCAACAGAGCCTTGAGGGAGTCGCAGAAGCCGATGATGTACATAGCACATGCGATGCTGTTTGCGAACGTGAACATGAGCCCGATGGCCCCACCGAACTGGGGACCCAGGGATCTCGAAATCATGTAGTAGATCCCGCCTATCGAATCCACATGAATCTTTGTAAATCTTCTCTCCAGATTTTGTTAAATTGTTAGGAAGAAGAAATGAAAGTGAAGAAGCATGTATTTAGGACCTCCTTTGATCTGTCCGTTGGTGCTGACGGCAGACATGGAGATGCTGGTGACGAGTGTGACAAGGTTGCAGGAGGAGATGAGGATGAGACCTTGACCGATTCCTGCTTGTCCAACGACCCACGACAGGCGCAGGAACAGCATGACCCCCCAGATATTCAGCAGACATTTAATCTACAATTTGCATCGGTAAGAAAACCCTTGCTCTTTCGGAGATGGTAAACATGCACACACCCAGGATGAGATTAAGGAACTTACAAAGACTCCCTTTATCCAGCCGAACTTGATGACTCCCTCCTGAGGATCTTCCTGGCGTCTTTCCTCTGGGACCGTCTGGGAATCAAATTACCATAATTGCACACAAATTCTCGCCCCAAAGATGTTATTTCTGCATTCCATGTTCAGCTGCATGATTAGTAGAAAACAGTGAGCAAAAATTGAGATGCCAAATTAGTGTATTTTTTGCATGTATTTTTAAATGTTATTTTCCCATCTCTGCTATCGATTCCCGCAAAAGCCATCATTGCATATTACATTTTGCTGCTTCTCGACTTTGCGTCCTCTTATTATTTTTGTCACGCAAGCATCAACGTATGACTGAGAAATGAGAATTATCAAACAAAGGAATACATTCATCAATGAAACAAAGTGAAACAAAGGAATAAGTGAGGCGGTGTGGGAGTATGACTAAATTGATGAATGTTACTATGGAAAATATTTTTCTGTGGGCGCTTCGCAGTATTCCTTCACAATCTATTGCTTTAATCTCATTCCGTTTCTTTTGCTCTAGCAAAGGAAAACAAAGATTGCGAAGATCTTTTAGAGAGGGCATTGCCTTGTAAGGGTTAATGCTTCATTCGTAGTTCTCGAGGCAGGAAAAAATTGGAGGGTTTCTTGAACCCTTTTCAGGAGTTTCAGAGCCCTTGCAAATACAAGCACCGAATGAGGAGATGAATCACAACAGTTGGAGTAGGGGGGACATGAAATAGAATAATTTAAAAATAGTACTCAATTTCTTCTTGCTCTCGGGATTCATGGAGACAACCTGGCAGTACTGGAGATACTCCAAGCATGTACTTCTTCGTCGATAGGAAGGAGGATGGCCAATTATTGATAGTATGGAATTTTGCATAATTGCGTCCCAAGATGGAACCGGTGCCGAAAGATAGAGCATCAGAAGTAGTGCATATGTGTCCATGGTCACATCGTGATCCTATGTTACCCTGATCCGCTATAGATTGATTCCATCGACGGGTCTCACTTTAAGGTTACGAAGAGGAACTCGCTAAGCATTCGCACACGGGTAATTGGAGTTTCCTTAAAACAATGGTTCTCAAACTCCATTTTACTCCCATAGAATATCCGTATGTTCGGTTGTCCGCTGACCACAGATTGAAAACCATTGTCCTAAATGCGGAACGCATTCACTTATAACCGATCAAAAGCATGTAAATTTGACTATTAGAAGTTGTGTCGGTTTATGATGCTATGAGACGAAACTCAAAGCATATTTCTACAAAACGGTAATTGAGAGTCTCTCATGACGGGAACCATCATCCCTTTCTTCATCTGGTTCCTGAGAGTTCCAAATTTCGTTCGGTGAGTCTCATTTTAATGCGATAGGTGTCAATTGAAAGTTTATAACTTCGTGGCGATAACGATTGGTTCAAAAGTTCGAAAATTCCTACCATTTTGACGCCATGGGACCTAATATCGGCGGTAAGAATAGCATCGTACTGAAGGCCTTCCAGGTCGAAGTGCTCACATCCAACAATGAGAGTACGAGGAATTGTTGGCAACGGAAGTTGTTGCTATGGTAACTGCTGGTAATGATCCTATGTCTAGGTTTGTGATGTTACCAGTCCCGTCGCGGGTTTGCTTCACATCAGTTTGCAGCATTGATTTAGGGCTTCGTATTATCATTTTCACTTTTCATGTTCTCAAAATGCCACGAAAGAGGTGGTGAAGAGTGAACTATTCGGCGGCGGGATCTACTGAAAGCAACAGAAAGAAAGAAGTTCTGGAGTCACAGTCAGAGGATGAAAGTGCATGACGACATGCAGAAAATGCTGCTTAGCAATCAGGCTGTTTCCAAGAACAGTGAAACTGTCGAAGAAAGAGCAGAAAGACATGCATGAAATGCTCTGATCCGACTTGTTTCAGCCCGTACTCACGCGGGATTTTACATTAGTATACATATGATTTCCAGGAGCACTGCGCTTTCCTAGCGCGAATATATTTTGCTTCAGATATGCGAAAATTGGAGTTTTGGAAAAGAGGAGTGAGTGCATTTATTAAGGTGAGAATAAATACCCGTGGGGGTTCGACGATGGCTGGGGCATGGAGATCATCCAAAGAAGGCCTTCGGTATTCGCCCTGAATATCCCTCGTACTCCAATAATGATGCTCCCTTGGAAGGGCGTCACGCGTCAGTTGGGTTAGGGATCTGAGGTACCTGCTGGCATGCGATGGTGTGGCTGCAACAAAGACCACAAATTACATATTCCTCTATTTTTACTTTTCCTGTAAACTTACCATCTAAGTGCTTAATTGAATTCATTAGCCTCTATTTGTTATATTTGTTAGTCCGCAAAACTCGTGATATTCATCACGTAATCAATTTAAACAAAAATATAGTTTTTTTCTCATTTCCTTCCAACTCAAGAATCACTGGTTAATGAATTTTTAAATAAAAGAATTAGCAATACAGATGAAACTGTTACGCCTGCTTAACGAACAATGTAACTGTGCTGTAACAGAATTCTCTATCACTGCTCACTCCTTGCAATACAGTAATTTTCTGTTTCAAGCATCAACATTCAATGCATGTCTAAACCGCATAACGTGAAGAGGAAATACAAATAATGAGTTGATTTTTAGAGTCCGTAAAATAACAGAATAGCCTATGAAGAGGTCAATCAAGTATTGATTCCAAGGTACAGCACCGCAAAAAAATAGGATTTAGCAATGTCAAACTGTATTCAACTAATCAGAAAAATTTGCTTTACAAAACAATTAACAAGGATGGGTGTAGAGTGTGCGATGATTGAAAAATGGGTGTAAATGCATAATAGTGTATAATTTCTGCAAATGCAGAAGAGGTTAAAAGAAACATTCTATAGTTCATTAGAGGGATTAGCATACTAAGACTAACAGAAACAATGAAAATAGCTCAGACATGTTCCAGAGTGTTAAAATGATTGTCATCTTAATCAAATAATTTTCTGCTTGTAAGAAAATATATATTTGAATTAAATGAAACGCATAAATGAAGTTAAAAACTGTATTCTTCAAGTACGTATAAGTTTCATTATTGTAAATATGATGTGATTTCTTTCATCAAGTAAAACTAGCACAATTCATGAACCACCCTGTATATTAAACTGTAGCTATTGTCAGAGTATTCACCGCAATTGCGAGTTACCTCTTGTGAAATCGTTTTATCTCAATAAGAAGTTCGATATGCGAAGATGTGAAAATTTCCGGTTAACGAAGGGCATACCGCTTTTGGTATAGTCGTAGGCGTAGTTAGGGGGTGCGAGGAATTGATCGGATCTGAATTGAGTGGGTTCCTCGGGTTGGAAGTCATCTTCGGCTTTGACTACAGTGACCTGGAACTTCGGGGTGACCTGGGACATCTTGCTGCAGCCTTCGTTCCTTTCCTCGCAGTTGCTCGGTGGAACTGCTGCGCTCATTCCTCACTAGAACGGTTCATGAACCCGTGACACCCTTTCAGATCTGACGTCCATTGTAATGGAGATTGCATTTTCATTATGTCTATGGTAATTTCTTGGGATTCTCGTGACTTTGCACCCCATATTATACTACATTGGGCGCAATTATGCATGGCTCAATTCCATCATAGGCATTCCCTGACTCGTCAGTTTTGTAATCTTCTTTATGTAATTACATTTATTTTATATAATACAGGGTTGTGCAAAAGTTCCCGTACACTTTGATTAGCGTTTCGATTCTTTTTAGGCGCCATAGCTCCAGAGAAAAAAATTCAAATAAAGAATGAAATTTAATATAATGAAAACATTTCGTATCAAAAATGTCTGTAGAATAAAAAAAAACATCAGAATCGTCAAAAATCCTTTGATTAGTGAAAATTTTAGATTTTCAAAGTGTACGGGAACTTTTGCACAACCCTGTATATGGTATGATATGGTAAATTTATGCACAATATAGAATCGATGTATAGAACCTAAAAATTTATAGTAGAATAGCAAAAGAGCTGGAAAATGCAAAAAGGTATATTGTTCTATATTGTTCTTATAGTGGCCTTAATTCAGGTATGAAAGGGTAAGGAAGGAGAGATGATGACGCGTGATAAAAGCACGCAAGAGAGCAAGGGTTAGGATGACCAATATGTGCACAAAATACAAAAGCCGTCCCACGAGTATTATCTAAGTGCTTTCTTTGTTGTGTCTCTGATACGCATGCAGTGTCTTCGAAGGGTAAACACCACTATGGATCCAGTGTTATTATTGATAAATACTAGTCATATTCATGCCTTTGGCACTTCATTACCTAGGATGATGAGTTATTCATTCGCAATATCCGTTTCGACCAATCTGGTAAACTCTTGAGGTCATAGGCATATTTATGGCTCTGCGACGTTACTTTCCATGGTCTGAAGTTATTGACAAACTAAGAAACGTTTGCTTCTTAACATAGTTGCAAAGAAATGTAAATTTGTATGGAATTTTACTCATATATATACCCGCTCCAAGTAATTCTCTTGAAAGGAGAGTTCTTTTCTAAATATGCATTTGGACTAGTATCGTTGTGATTAAGTTTCAGTTTCTATCTCTCCGTTTCGTGAGAGCTTAAGTTTTGGGAATGTCTGTGTTGAAAAAGAATATGGTCCCTGTGGGGATGTACCTTAAAAGTAGAACATTTGGAAATACGTATATCCAAAGAGCTGCAGGATTACCAAATATAATTTATCCATTCCTCCACTTTGAAGCTTTTTGCAGGGAAAATGTGTTTGGCCAAAAAATTCCCTAAAGAAAAATTACTTCGGGATATACTTCCAAACTAAAGCATTAATTACATTAGTATCGAAAGAAGCATTTCAGTACCAAATTTCAGCTGTCAATAATTACGTTTTTCAAAGTGGCAAGTCTTATGTATACTACCTCCCTCTCGAAATACTTGCAATGAGCATACGTAATCACGATTATAATGCCATAATTACTCAATGATTTTTTGTGTGCCTAACTCACTTTATCACTTTATTTGTCAGAGCGAAAATAAATCTTGAAATAATTCGTCTCGAATTCATAACTGACGTGTGGGCACAAATGATCTCTTCAAGACTTAGGTGATACCCACGTATAACTACACTCAATGTCCACAAAATTAGAGATCCCCCTACATTCTATTGGGTCATCCGGAAAGTTCTGCGGTTTTTCAAACCCACGCGCGCATCGGCTTGAATTTCGAGTTGATGCTTCAAGAGAGGACATTGATTTCTCGCCTGATAAGAAAAACCGGATTTTCCCCTACAATATTTTTCCATTCTGTTAACATATTTCGTAGTAGGTTCGATTCTGTGCTGGGGTGAAGATGGAGAACCAAAAGCAACATTTTCGCAATATAATGCTTTTTTATTTCAAGAAAGGCAAGAATAAGAAGGCTGTCACGTATCGTTTTGGCCGACAGGCGGGCTACAGTACGCCAAATCGCGGCAAAATTCAACGCTGGTGTGCCAGCAGATGGATACTTTCAGCAGGACAATGCACCGTGCCACAAGGGCCGTATCGTCATGGATTGGTTCGAAGAACATGCCCAGGAGTTTACCTTGCTCCAGTGGCCCGCACAGTCCCCTGAACTCAATCCAATAAAACATCTTTGGGAAGAGGTGGAATGGGCTGTACGGGGCTTGCCTGTACAGCCATCAAACAAGCGGCAACTGAGTGACGCTGTGCAAGCAGCATGGGCCGGGATACCTGCAGAACGTTTCCAGCACCTCGTGGAATCCATGCCACGACGAATTGATGCTGTTTTGAGGGCCAAAGGCGGTCCAACACGCTACTAGTGATCGCTCTAATTTTGTGGACATTGAGTGTATATTGAGAGGAAATGTGCTGGATGCCGTGGGCTAGGTGAAAGGGTTTTCATCGAGAAATGCCATGTTCTCATCCGGGTTCGTTGGTTGGTATGTGTGAGACTTTGCCCTCATTCTTTGTAAATACATCAATGAAGAGATTCATTTCCCTTCTATGGTAATAGAAAGGGGATTCTCCCACAGAGTTAATGGCAGCAATTCACTTCATTTCTCTTCTCCATGTGTTTGATGACTGCCAACGTTGCCTGTGGTAATCTTCATGGTGCTCGAGTGAGTATACTGATTCACATTCCCAATCGAACTTCAATATTTTGTGTTGCTGACCACCCTTTCAGAATGCCACTGTTATCATCTTCATGTCAATTAGACGAGATTTACCTCAGTCTCCTGGAGCCAGGGAATTAAGTCGTCTGACACTCTTTCCTATACCCAAGGTGATTATAGAAAAATTGGCACGTGTGCATAAGAAATACGAAATTTCAAAGTAGATTGAATAATAATTTTTTGTAACATAACCATTGCTTGTGAGTATCACTGAAACAGGCTGTCATTGTAGTTTACTCTTATCACCTTGTGAAATGTTGAGGTATAATACAAGATCAACCTCAAACATGGAGAATAAGACTTATGAAAATGTCGTATGGAAATGTTGGAGACATCTCTCATACACGTAGTTGAAAAGGTTAGGCAGAGACTATCACCCTTGAGGATCTCTACGGTCTGGGTCATTCCACCGCAAGTATTTCGAAATGTGGACGGTTCTTTCCTCGACGATTTCAGAATTCAATCAAGCGTGCAGAATAATGAGTACATTGAGAATAGCATACTGACAGCATATTTAACATCCGCGCTAAAAGATGGCAAGATATAGGCATTTGAAATGAGGCTCCAGGGCGAAACACCTCCGACTTAGAAAAATTTCAGTATTCTAAATCCCAAACTCATTTTCGATACTCATATTGAAGTTAAATTGTCCAACTTCGCATTTTCCACTGGGAACTGTAACCTCTTCATTAAATTTGAAGAGTAACAATTACATGTATCTCCAAACCAATATACCTAGAGGTTTTGATGTACTATAGTTCTATGTGATGTTTCATTCTTTTTCAAGTAGGAAAACAGATCATTTCCATGTCATTCAACCTAGCCTTTCATTATAAGGGAATCCAATAAGTAGGTCATCTTTGCACCATCGGTTACACCCTTAAATTTATTTTACTGATATAGAAACGATCATGTTCTGCACCGATAGAGATATACAAGCTTGGAAGATTTACTTGTCACTCTACGCGAAGTGTGGCAATGGTCTGTTTTAAAAAAAATGTAATTCATTGACTTTTAGAGTGTAGAAAATGTCAATACTATCATACAAGCAACAGAGTGGGCATCAACATTAAACGGAGGTCAAAATAGAGGATTTGACATTTTTCCTTGAGGCAGTAACACCTGGTGGCCCATAAAAAAAATTCCTGAACATAATACGTTTGCAGATGGGACACCGTATTAGCTATTGCCTTCGATTTTCAGTGTGCCATATGCAATATATGTAGGTGGTTTTTTGAAAATGTTCAATGAAATTCCCTGTTCTGAATACGAGTAAGAGCTCTTTCCATACGAGTTGTCAAGTTAGATAATGCATCAGTGAGTTTGCCTTGAATGCTGCCGCAGCCGACGATCTCCGGAGGACGCATCAATGGAGGACCCTTAAAACATTTCTTTCCTTGTGGTCAGTAGCACACTCTTTCTTTGGTCACTCGATCTTTTGGCATCACGCGGTTGAGAAACACACGTACCCAAGTAACACAGTATGTTGATGAAACGTTTTCGAAATGTTGCCTATGTTGCTCAATGTTGCAAGTTGCTGTACAACATTGATAAAACATTGCTTCAACGTTTCCACTTGGAATGTTCCTGCGACACTTCTACGAATGTTATATCAACATTTGCTATCAACATTTATGTAAATATGTTGCTCAATGTTGCAAGTTGCTGTACAACATTGATAAAACATTGCTTCAACGTTTCCACTTGGAATGTTGCTGCGACACTTCTACGAATGTTATATCAACATTTGCTATCAACATTTATGTAACGTTGACGCTGTTGACATTGAAAACGTAGCGACAACATTCTAATACAACTTTTCTGTGGAACTTCAAAATGCGACAATTCTCTGAATATGCAATCGACTCCGCTTCTTGGGATACTCCCACGATCAGTTACCTCTTTTGGCATTTTTGCCGGAAAACGAAAGCATGTAGGTGGTTTTTTTTTAAGCTATTTAAAAATTGCCCTTCAGTTTTGAGAAAAGTTTATTCTTTTAGGCATGTTATTCCAAAAACATTCATTCATGCGATGTTTTTCATAATGCATCTTATGGTTAAGAAATCGTAACATTAGTATTCCATATAAACGGAAGTTAGAGGAATCAACTGTATATTTAGAATGAAACTTTCTGCAGTAAAATTTTCCTCAACTTTCTCAATTCGTCCCTGGGTGTAAAATATAGCACCCACGGGCGCAGTATGATAAAAATCCCCTCGTGCAAAATTATGCCTGTAAACGCTCTTCGAGAATGAAATAAGCAGTCCGGGGAAAAAAAAACTGGCGTGCTAACGCCTCAACTGCTGTAGTCAGAGCAGGATTCATACGAAGTGCTTCGAACGATCCGCGTGGGGAAATGAACTTCAGGGTGTCACGGGATACGAGTGGTTGGTGGAGACTGTCATATCTACGCATGCGCCCCAATGCAAGTGCACGTGTGTACGGCATGGGGGATCCTACAGTATGGCGGTAGGAAGAAGCAAATAAAAGTTGAAAGTTGGTGCAGTTTGCCCGATTATGCCTGGACGTGTAATGGATTCACTTTGCTGCCTAACACTAGAATCCACAAATATTTTCCAAGAAAAACTGGGACATTTTCAAGAAAATGCTCGAGTGTTAGTCCTTGCCTTGTGAAACATTGGGACTGCCCTGGTTAAAACGGGACGTCTGGTCACCTTAGTTTTCCTAGTCAGATCCATGATAGCCTCACTTTTTAACACCAAATGTAGTTAAACAGTATAGGTGCAGGTATAAAGTGCCTTCTTTTGCCTAAAAAAAAAATACTAAACACAAAAAAAAAAAAAAAACTTTTGTAATCTCACTGACCAAGTGAATTGAATTTTATATTTTGTCAAAGGCCTAACTCTGAAGATTGCACGAAAAGGATTAACCCACAGTGAGACTTCAAGCAATTGTTACATGCACTATGCTCCAGCCAAGGCCCAAGATAGCACTTAGCCACTTTATGGAGTAGGCCTAATGCTAAGAGTGTATGGTACAGATCTGGGGAAAGAGCCTATGAGGAATTCTTCCTAAGTGGACTACCAAGTAGCACTCCTTTCACTGCAAGAAAGTAGCATTTTTGCATTCTTTCGGCATAGAAATTATTAAAATTCTTAGCCTTAATGAAATGAACTTCATTTGGCCCAACTGTCTTGCCAGAAAGTCTTAATCAAGAAACTATGGCAGGGAATAAGCTAATTTGTGGCCAGAAATATTATTGGGGGCTGCCTGCTGGCATGAGGTTACTGGATCTCACCTCCAGCTCCATTGGTTAAGGGGAGTTTGTGTGGCACATATAGCATCTAGTAGTATCCATAGTATCTAGCATATTATGAATGGCCTGGTGTTGTGACAGTCATCCATTTGCATATAGGCAATTGGCAAGCCACTGATGAGGCTCACCTCTAGAGGCAATACTGAGGAAACCCCTATTTGATGATCTTCCTGCACTTGGTCAGCAAATGATTGGTCAATATGAAGTGGAGCATCCTTCTCTGGAATCACTTCTCTTCCATCACAATAACCTCCTTCCTGAATGCATCCTTCACAAGAGGAATATATTCTGAGACCTTTGATTTTCTTAATAAATGTCCAAGCTGGTACATCACATTAGAAGGTTGGTCAATATTTTACAGGTGCAGTCAATTTTTTTGGAATTATTAGTGATATCCTTATTGATGTATCACTGTGACTGCTCAAGGAGAAAATTTAATAAGTGAATCCTTATTTCCTTTTAGCCTAGATGATCTTGAAAGAGGTAAAATGTCAAAGGCTAAACGTGCTTTAAAGCCCATTGAGTGCTTGTCAGACCGCCAGGTTCGTCGCAGAGTTTCTGCTGCAGTAGAAAAAGAGTTACAGGACCTGTATGGAGCATCTACCTCTGTGCTGGCTGGAGATGATGAACTTATTTCAAGCAGTGCTGTGGCATCCACTGTGGGTCCAAATTCTGATGCACTCTTCATAGATTCTCATGTTGAACCTCTTCAGGCATCACATGATGACTCATCCAGCAGAGACTGTGTTTTACAGCAGGTCCCATTTAAAGAAAGACTTGCAGAGTGGGCCTTGTGTGCCAACATTCCTCATGTGCATCTTTCTTCCCTGCTGCATTTGTTAAAAGAGACATTTCCTCTTGAAAGCCTCCCATCAGATGCTCGTACTCTGTTGAACACTCCCAGAAAAGTGAAGATCATTTCTCTAGGGGGAGGTAATTACTATTACCATGGCCTCAAGCGTATTTTAGCCAGAAAAATTGTTGGTTGTGAAGATCTTCCTTCTTGTTCTTTGAGTTTGTTGGTAAATATTGATGGTTTGCCAATATCAAGGAGCTCAGCAAGTCAACTATGGCCAATTCTCTGCCTTGTCCCTGAACTGGATCCAAACCCTTTCATGGTTGCTTCATATCATGGTCATTCAAAGCCTGCATCATCTGAGGAATTTCTAAAAGATTTCATAACTGAAACTTCACAACTGCTGTCTGATGGCTTCTTGGTCGGGAATATGAAGTTTAATCTGAAACTGAAAGCCATTATATGTGATGCACCAGCTCGGGCATTTATAAAACAAATCAAAGGTCACAGTGGATATTTTTCTTGTGAAAGATGCATCCAGGAAGGAGACTACTGTGATGGAAGAGTGGTGTTTCCAGAGATGGATGCTCCACTTCGCACTAACCAATCATTTGCTGACCAAGTGCAGGAGGAGCATCACACAGGGGTTTCTCCATTATTGTGCCTAGAGGTGGGCCTCATCAGCAGCATGCCACTTGACTACATGCATCTAGTTTGTTTAGGGGTTGTTAGAAAATTGCTCTTGTATTGGTTGAAGGGCCCTGTTCCTTACAGACTGCCATCTGTTCAAACAAGGGCTCTATCAGCTCGTCTAACTAAACTGCAGCACATATCCCCTTCTGAATTCAATCGTCGCCCCCGATCACTGGAGCTCATAGAACGCTGGAAGGCAACTGAATTTCGTGCCTTTCTGCTGTATTGGGGACCCTCTGTTCTGCATAATATTCTTGATGACCAGAGGTACTGCCATTTCCTCCTCCTCCACACTGCAATATTCATTTTGTGCTCAAAGTCATTGATTATGAAATTGATGGACTGTGCAGAAGAGTCACTTCGTGACTTTGTGTCCCAAGCTGGATCCATCTATGGGAAATCCTTCTTGGTCTACAATGTGCACAGTCTCATCCATCTAGCATCAGATGCTAGAATCCATGGCAGCCTTGATGCTTTTAGTGCATTCCCATTTGAAAATGCACTTGGCAGAATAAAATTGTTGTTAAGAAGTGGGCGACTGCCACTACAACAGGTCATTTGTCGGGTGCTAGAAACCATGAACGTATCAAGCAGGCCACCCTTGACCAATGGAGCTATAGGGAAACTGCAGCAGCCTCATGCTGATGGACCAGTACCTGATGATTTTTGTGGTCACCAATTCAGAAGTCTTTCTCTACCACAGTTTGTGATAAAGAGTTCGCTACGAGACAATTGTGTTCAACTGAAAGATGGTCAAATTATCAGGGTTGTGAATATTTTGGAAACTGATGGTGCAATTAAAATTTGTGGGTGCCCATTTACGAAGGCCAAAAAAGTTCCAAAGTATCCAATTGAGTCAACTATTCTTGGCATTTATAAAGTCAGTGGACCTCATGGCAGTATGTGCCTTTGGGATGTGCATGACATTGTGGCAAAGTATATCCTCATCAAAAATGACAACTCAGAGCATTACATTGCTTTGCCCCTTCTTCATACATCCTGTCGTTGAAGTTGGAACTAATCAGAGTTCAACTATAGACAATGGAATAGAGCTTAGTGTTTACCTGTGATTGTGTTCTTGAATTGCCTTGTGATAACTTATTCTTGCATTTTTAGATGTTCCTTGTTGTTGATTTTGTTGAGGAATCATCTTGTGAAATAGTGCCAGAACAATGGTTTAATGTGAAAAAAAAAATGTTTTTGGCCACCAGTGCAGAAACATGATGAAATAAGGAAGCTTGTTCGAAAAAAAGCTCTGGATACATCATGGCCATCATACCCAGCCCGAATCCTTGGGAGAGCTGGTAAGTAATTGATCATAATGATTGAATGACATCTCATGCTTTTTTATTATTCTTTTCCCACCTTTTCTCCTTAGAAACATATGAAGAAGCTTGCAGGAAGCTCCAACGAGCCGAAGACACTTCAGATCTGAACACTGAGGTTGATCAAAATCATATTAAATCAAAAAGGAGACGAAGACCTGCTCAGAAAACATTATCTGATGAAGAGTGCCCCCCACCTGCAGCAAAAAAGCTAGCACAAATTCCTGCAGTATCCACTGATTCACTGCCTCCATCAGCTGGACCTTCACGGCCAACTCCTACAGCAAGTTCAGGAATGGCAGAAGGATACATTGGTGAGGCATATTTTTTAATGAGACCTCCATTGAAAGTTGTGCTTAAAGACCTGCTGTTCAGGGAACTCTTTCTTTAGCCAAGGACTTACAATATTGAAGCAAAGAGGTGTGAATTTCCTGATTCTCATTTTTTATATTGATTTTAGTTGTACTGATATTGTGGAAGTGCAGGAGCATAATAGTGTGAGGCATAGTATATTATTGTACCAAATCAGGTGGAATGCTGCTGTTTCATTGTCATCCATATTGCTTTTCCCTAGCAGTTTGCCTGCACACTTTTGATAGCTTTGGATCTGTGATTAACTAGGACTCTTGACTTCATTTTCTCCATGATATGACCTATTTCATGGCTGCTCTTAAATTCCAAATGACAAAGCAAGATATTTGCATTATTCTAATCATGGAATAGCTTGGGAAGGGGAAGGGGAAGGCAGGGCAGAGGATGGGAGCTAGTGCATACCATGCACTGCTTTCTGAGATTCTGTCAACAGTGCAGCTTTTGTGCTGCAAGGCATTTCTCAAGAGAAATGCCTTGCATTAGACCTATACCCACTGCAAGTGGAAGACAAGAGTAGAATAAGCCTGTTCATGTGTTTTATTGATGTAGCAAAGGAAAGCTGCAATCACTTCCTAGTATATGTTCCATATGGATTTTCATTTCAGGATTTCAGGGTCGAATTCTTGCAAAGTTGGAAGTCATTTCAAACACCTTGGCAGCACATACAAGGGAGCTGAAGGAAATTCGCAGAATCATCACTCAACACCCAGAAGAGGAGAGCGAGAACCTTGAAGAGGAAGATCATGTTCAAATGCCAAGCTTGCCTGCTACTTCACTTGAAGAGCTGCATGTATTGGATAATTTATGTGCAGTAGAGGCAAATAGAAAGGCTCTGGTGAGTGGCAACTACCTAGTCAGAACAGCAGCACTTCATTAATTTCTTGTTCAGTTTCAGTTGCATCATGTGTAGTTTGGGAGTAATAAATCATGAAAAATTCCTATCCATGGGTAAGAAATTATCCCTTTCAATTTATGTGTGCTATGGTGCTAATTGGTCTCAGTGATTGCTAAGGTGATCGGAATGCCTATTATAGTCAAGTTTGTTAAAAATGCTTAAACATGAGGGAGGTTCAAATGTCAAAGCTTCCTCTACTCTCTTGCCAGGTTAAATTCATCTGCCTTGCTGGTGGGGCTAATGTCGGGGACACAACCAGAAATATAATGAGTCGCCTAATAACCTGCAACCTTGGCTGTTTGTTCAGCTGGACAGGAAGAAAGGGCAAGCTCCCTCTGCAAGGTCTTATGAGACTTAAGAGCATTATTTTTGGTGAGCATTTGTTATATTCCAGTATTCCATGTAATTACTTCCTTGAACTTTCCCAAAAACTCTTGTTTCCCATACAGATGCTGTGCGTTGCAATGGAGCCACGAAAACTGCTACAGACCACTGCATAATCCTTTCTGCGAGTAATTGGCTACGATTTGCGGCAATTCGTTGCAAGAGGAAGGCTCTCAATGCAGTGTGGGTACAGCAGATTCTTTCTTATTCCATCATGATACTTCATGTTATTCAGAATATCATTTTCCTTTGGAATTCACACCAATCCATTAGAATCTGAACTGTTCAATTTGCTCAAGTCTGCCAGAGTCCCTTAAAAATAACATTTTTTCACTGGCAAAAACTCAAGCTCATACAAATTAAATGTTTATAAAGTACAAACTGCAGATTTTTAACATGTAATGCATGCAATGTCAAAGCAGATTTTGAGATTTCCAAAAGATAATCAACCCTGTATTAATGATTTCAGATGCTATAATTTGCTTTTTTCATATTAGAGTCAGGCAAAAGATGCTTCCCTGGGTTAAACGTTTGGTTCTCTTTTACAGAGACTTCCAGGGACAAGCTCCCTGAGACAGGGGAGCATCACATGAAGAATTGAAGAGCTGCAAATTTTTTTTGTTTCTGGATTCCTTTATTTCATTATTTCTCCCAAGAAATATAGTCTCCTTTGTTCCCATCTGTCTGCTTTGTCAGTTATCAGCCCTACCTTGGAAGACACTCACATCAGTAGGCTATGGTCTACTGATGTGATTGATGTGAGAGTTATGAAATATGAATTTCCCCAAACTGATGTTTGGAGAAATATCCTTGATGGAAATGTATATTGTTTGAAACAGTAACTAGTATGGATCATATGATAATGAGCAATATCAAATACTATTACTTTCCAGGGAGTAATTGACAATAATATAACTATGAACATATACTGCATGTCAATTGAAGTGGATATTTTGTAACTAAGTTGCATTTGAAGAATTTTGATGTTACCTGGTTTTTTTTTTTACATTTTTCTTGAGTATTTGTCAATTTACTGTAGACTTGTAAAGTATAACTTGAAAACAATTGTCTCATTTATTTCACACAAAAATGCCAAGTTACTTTTAAACAAGAAAATATAAAACACCCGCTTAAATTGACATGCAGTGTATTTGAAAATTACTTTTTTACAAGAAATAATTATGATATGGCTGCTGGCACATGAATGAATTATATTTGATGGATTGTGAACCCTCAAAGGATTCTTGTATTCTCCACTCATTGACAAACTTGACTTCTTTTTATACATGTAATATATGACATGGCATGAATGGGCAATATATGGTGCTACTGTATGAGCCAAGATATGAAATATAAACGGAGGATTTGCTTCGATCCATACATGAATATTTATTACTTGTGTAAAACCCCATATATCATTTTCATGTATCTGCTAATCTGGATTCCAATGTATGGCCATGTCTGTCTTAATTTAAGCTGAAAGTGCTACAATTTGCTTCCATGTAATTTCTGAAAGAATATGAAATTTTCACATGGATGCCTTCAGTGGAAAACTGAAAAATAATTTAACTGTTGCTGCTTTTACACCTCAGTTTGATTCTCAACCATGGATTTTTTTTAATTCAAACAGCAAAGTTCTGAATTGAAGAAAATAAAGGAAGAAAGTAAGACATGCTACATGAGTACTGAAGCTGCAGGGGGACTGTTATGCCTAATGCCAGGCATGCAGAAAGTTGCTTGCCTTTACATTTTAAAGTGCCCAGCAACCTCTGGACAATTGTTCCACAAGATGTGTTTTAATCCCCAGGCCATCCCTATTTAGCCAAAATTCAACTCAGAAGTAAAATTTACCTGAATTTAAATAAGGATTGATTTAGCTTGAAAAAAAAAAGGGTGCAATGTTGAAAAGCTGTAGAGAAGCACATTATAGTGAGATGATGATAATATTGACTTAGAAAATAAAAGAAGTCTGTTATTATTATGGCATATATTTTCCTCTACATTCATGATCTTGGTTCATGATTGCATGATTTGGCATGGCAAATCATGCAATTCTCCCACACCAAAAAATACTGAGAATTTGTTCAAGACAAGAAATCAATTGCTGGTATTTAAAACTTTGAGAAAGCAATCATGATATTCACACTACCTAAAAAACATAATGATATTGCACCTCATTCAATCATTGAAGTCATTTAGTCATTGACTAAAGGCAATAAATGAATATTTTGTGGGTTAAGAATATGCCGAAGGATGACTTGCAATAACTGTGTGGCTCTCATTTACATATGACTCTATCCTTGAACATGAATCTTTCCTTTCCATTTGGAGATAGGACTTTATATCACAGTTCATTTTGTTTTTCAGGTGACTGTCAGGAAGAAATTCCAGTGATGCATCCCGCTCAAGGCTTGCATTGGATTATTTCTGTGAATATACATGAAAACCTGTTATTCCATTTGTCGGGGTTTGTGTGACATTGTGTAAATCAGGTGATATATGCATTACTCTATTACCACTTTATTTACAACGAAAATACAACTAGACGTTGTAACACATAACAATAAAACGTTGTAAGTTCGTTGCAACTTTAAGACCTGAAAGTATTATAACTCCGTTGCAAGAGTTAGTTGATTGCAGCAACATAAGTTCAACACTCCTGAAACGTTTCTGCAACGTGTATGTAATGAATATGCAACGATTTGCAACATTATTGCAATGTTATTTTGCAACATTCAAGCAACGTTGACGTTTTAGACATTTACACATCGAGGCAACATTGTTGATCAACATTTCCGAAACGTTGTTGGAATATCTTGTGTTACTTGGGTAGGTAGCTACCAATTTCATTGTAATTTTTATGGTATTACCTGCAGATATTGCACTGGAAAATTTTCCTGTCGATATATCATAAGGTATTGCGTCTGCAGGCGTGTGAAGTTCGGGAATTTTTTGGGCCACCCGGTAAATGCACCCTTTCCCTCCTTTGGATCCAAAATAATTAGGTTTATGAGCTTGAGAGTTCCTTCCTGGCTCAGAAAAGCTTAACGTATTTGGAATCGAAAAATGCCAAGAAATGTCATTGTAATTTAGCATTAAAATGCCCTGATAAAAAATTTGAAATCTTGAACTTTTTAAAGTTTAAATTTGAGTTTTTATGCAAATATTATGCAAAGACTTCGTATGGAGTTTAAATAGAATTTGCACTTTCTTTTGAGCTCTAAAGGAAATCTCTAAGTCGAAAATCAAGACTGCTAGCTTCTAAGAGCTGGGGAAGCGGGATCTTTCCTTCACATTAGGGGAAAACTTCAAGGACCATAACCGTCCTCGTTTGATGAAGATGCTTACTATTTTGACTTCTAATGCACAGGAGAGCGTCTTAGAGGCTCATTGTTCTTCCAAAGGTGAACGCATTAATAATACCCAGCAAAGTATAAACGCGTCATGAGGGGTAGAGCCGCATGTTGATATTCGTTTGCTGAATAGACAAGCATCTGGGCGATGTATAAACTTTGGTACAATAGAAATCTGTGAAACGCTCCGCAATTCCTTTGAATGTCAAATGGTTATCATTTCAACCTGTGTATTTTACGAATATGTCTGTATCTCGCACAGTAGAGAATGTGCACTTTGCTGTACCTTTTAGTTTGCAGTGATGCACGTGGATGTTGTGGATATGACCCCGTGAAATAAACTTCGCAATCTGGAGATGCTACTTCACTGGGAACAAGAAGAAGGTGAACATAAACCCCACCTCTAATTTATAGGCAGGGTTTATCGGCAGTCGTGACGAAATTTCGAGGAATAGAGGGAAGGTTTATCTCCTGCCACTGAATTATCAAGGTCTTCGTCAAGTGCGGTTGTTTAAGTTTCGGCTGACCTCCCCGTCAGTGCCTTTCACTTATGCTTATCGCGTTAGTTACCATAAACGTTGTTCTCCATTCGGGGTGAAGTCAGATTTATATATGACCGTAATTGCATTATTTACGATTATATCATTCGACCATAAAAGTTGCCAGGAATTCGCATCGATAACGCTCCTGAAACTTCATCGTCAGTAGTCACGATGGAAAATACATGGTTCTTCCTCATTTAGTACGTCACAAAAGCTATAATTTGGTTTTGGTCAGAGATAATTATATTTCTCCTGAGGAAATAGTTATCATTGGGTACATCGGGTCTGTACTGCACGAGGATTGCCTGCGGAAGGATATCGACAAATAGGGACATGCTGCCAATTCACGATTTCTAAATCATTGTGCTCTTAATAATAGTGTAATTGACTATATCACCATTCTCTGATACGGTGACTCGCAGCCGTCTGAGTTTAACCGGGCCCATACTACAATTAAAGATGTCGAGTCTTAGCCTGGCAACCTTTATTTCATGGCTTCTTTTGTTAAATAGTTCATTGCAGCATCAACATATTTCATGAACGTTTTTAGACGCTTTTAAAGAGTTTCTCATCATTCCAAGCGGAAAATCGCAAGGAATTGAAAATTGAAAAAATGTGAATGACAATTCTCTCTGTGCCGTGTCATAAGAAGAGTCCATGCGTGTCCTATTTCCTATTAACATTTGGTCGGTGGGCCGATGGCCGGTTTTTCATCATAACCATCGACCGGTGCCGGTGCCATTTGTGGCCTGTAGAAGAAATCGCCTATCTACCTTACTAATGAGCGTGTCTCTGTGTGTGTGTGCGCCTGTGTCCGAGGCCACTTCTCCTCTTAGACGGTTTGATCCCTGACCCTAAAACTTTAAAATTTGGCTTCCTATGAGATGGGTATCAGGACGACGGAGTTTGGTGACTGCCACCGATGGGTCGCTGGGCGGCCTTGGTTCACCAGGGTCATTTTTCATCAAAGTAACTTCATTCATTGTGTTTGGGTGTTATCAAGTCCCTGGGGTTTCCCGGTCAAGTCCATCCTTCAATGTGACCTTTCCCCTTTGAGATATTAGAGGTCATAGGTCAACATTTTAGTCATTTTCCCGGCCAAGCCATGCACTCCAAGCCTTCCAATTATACATTTCATGTCGTGGAGGACTTCCACGCCCAATGCTACACAAAAAATTTAAAACTGTGTGCATTCCAGTTTTTCTTGCGACTGCTGCCAAGTAGGTGGCACGTGCCGCAAACACGGTTAATGCACGGGCATGCGATGAGGGGGGACAGCCAAGGGAATCAGGGTCAACTCATGCTCAGATCCCAAAAAATGTTCACGCGAAATCCTGTGTACAAAGAAGTCTTCTATCTGTGAATGCAACCTATATGGGTGGTTGTTCGGAACCACTGTAACACCAAAAGGCAGTGTACGGGGTAGACAATGGGCAGGCTAACCTGTCTGTACAGGGTAAGCTGTGAGTACAGAATATTTTGCGTCTACGGTAGCCTGCGTGTACAGGGTAGACCTGGAGGATCAGGGCTTCGACTAGTAAATTCAAATGGGCCTAATTGGAAACTATGAGATACTCATCAGTAGGCCACCTTCAAACGATAGGGATCACTTTGGTCCTGCACAGACTGTCTGTCTTTCAATGCTTCTGTCCTTGGTCATCTTGGTACCCATTGCTGCAGTTGAGAGCATTTAGTGACATCCCTTGCAAAAAAGCTTGACGTAAATGGAGATGCAATGATTTCCCGTTCTTTACCGCTATTTTCCTCTGCCGGTTCCTATAGTACGGCCGTAACATAATCTGATCTATATTTTTGCATGGGAGAAGTTGGCAGGAGTGGTTTTCAATGAGACAGGCGGGCAGGCGCCGAGGTACGTTCACACCCTCACGTAATTCTTTTTTTCGCTTTACCCGTCCTTTGGGCACCGGCACCGGCACCGTTCCGTTGCCATAGGCCGATGGTGCGGATAATGCAGCACCAGCGGCCGATACCAGTGTTAGCCGATATATCGGTGCAGCCCTACTTAAAACCCTTTCGTGAGTGATACGGTTCCACTCAGAACCGTCACTCGGTGGCTCTTTGCAGCACTGATGCAATCATGCTATAGGGCAACCGCTCTTGAGGTACGGTCTATTGGGAACAATTGCCTTCAGGCACTGTTGAAATATGATGTGGTATTTAGTCAGTTCATTCTGTTTGCTGGATTCAGATACAAAGGAAGGTGCTACAAAATGTCATTGCTTCAAATGAAACTAAGAGGACATATTTCAAGGTCTGAACTATGAAACTGATGTCCATCGACTTCGGCGATGTTAATTTCCATTTTTTTCTTCTCAATTTGCATTATTATTTCACCTTCACCTTTGATGAACTTTGCAAAACCCTTCGATCGTGGGAAGCGGTGGGTATCTTCCTTTAATATCATATCACAAAATGAGATAATATTTGAATGCATTAGGATATTGAAGTCCATTATGGAGGCATACATTTTGACGGACTTCCTCATAAAATCAAATCCGATAAGAGACCTTCATCTTATCTTAATAGATTTCATACAGTGTATGACCCAGTCCCGACAATTGTTGGATGCCACAGGTCCTGATGAAAAAAAATAATGGAAGGTAATCCTCATCAATGAATCCATCATGCTCAACAGACACCTTTCATTACCGGCGTATCATGTTGCGCGTTGAAACATTTTAAGCTGTCATGCTTCTGTGAGAGGACTCCCCTCAGAGGCCACAGCCTGCATGTCCAAGTGGGACAACAATAGAAGTTTTACTCTTGCTGCCACAACCTCCTTCATTCACTCCCCGATATCATTGTCCAAAGTCTTCAAGCTTCTTTTCGAGTGCTACCACCCGACGCATAAGGTGTAGAGCAACTTGCAGCCGATTTAGTGATTTAGTGATCAACAAGATGTAGTTTTCTCAGTTAACCGGGAAGTTGGAGCTTCAAATTTGCTGGAACGCTTCTGCAATAAGAGGGTTGAGAAGAAAGCCCAATGTCGTTCCTCTACGCCCCAAATTAGAACACTATCGAGCCCCATAGAATAGGGATGATTTTGAGCTCTATCAGGATGTCTATTGGCTCGATAGGACCGATCTGACCCCTTGCATCGGGCGTGTAGAGGTTGGCCATCGAGTTTCCGGTTGGGGCGAGCGAATACGCAATCTGAGACTTCGAGTTCTGAAGCTTAGAGGCCAAAAGCGGATATTAGATCCGGGAATGTAGTTCGGGTCGAGTGCGGGCCATGATGTGTGACAACTTCGTCCGGGAATGCGTTCAGAACAAAGCTATTCTTATCACCGAAATTTGGCCTTATTACGTGAAAATGGTAAGATGGCCTTTGACCCAAGAAGATTCGTCTGCAGGTCATAAGCTTTCGAATGATATATATCTCAAGTGAAAATCCGTTCATCCGTCTTGGAGGAGTTTCCCGGAACGACACCCTGACACGGACAGATTAGCATCTGATATAGGCCTTTAATGTATTTGGCTATGGATGAGAGATTGCAGTACATGGAATTCACACAACCATTCCCTAATAATGAGTTATATTTTATTCGCTCCTAGCAGAGGCACCAGGCGTTGCACGTGTGAATATTGTATTCGTCCCATATTAGAGGGTTTAATATCTCTTGTTTTAATGCCTCTTTTGCAAACCCGACTAGAAATTGTTTATGATATTTAGCTTTTACTACACAAGCAATTGCAAATTCCAGAAGCAAGCTGCATGTTACAACTCAAATTTTTTTAATGAGTCCCCAAAATTTTCACTCCTTTGGGGGTCTGCAATAGTGAATCGGCCAAATCTGCACTAAATAAGTTACCGCGGCGGATCCGAATTTTGAAACGGCACCCAGCCTATGACCATCCCTGGACCAAATGAGGAAGCCGTGGCGTGGCTGTACATAAAGGACAGACACACACGCCCACAAACACTCTGAATTATAATAGCATATATGTTTATCAGTTTCAGATTTCGCCATATAACGGGGATTGCACGGTTTCCTGTGCGTCCGGCACGCTTCGTCACCCTGTCGTCTGACACAACATGCCCTTTATTCGGAGCCATACCACCCGAAAATGCTTTTCTCTGCAGATTTGCGAGAGGTCTTTCCGACCGCCCTTGGGACAAATAATCAGAGACCTGGAGTTCCCAAGTTTAGAGGTCTAAGCGGGTTTCGGGCCGATCAGGTCAGCCCACTACGATTCGCGGCTCGGAGCAGTAAAGCTCGGTCGACAATAGAATTCCAGGCCTGGTGTGGCTAACGATTCGAATCGTGCCGATGTAGTTTCAGCTCGAAAAAGTCGACCCGTGCAGGCCTCCGACACATAGACTAACAGGAGGACGCATAGCAACTAGCAGACTTTTTGGACGTTAGACCCAATAAATATCGGCCTCGGGTCCTAAGTTTTCGATTGACATCTCACTTATGAAGGTCTGTTCATCCGTCCAGGAGTTTCTCGGAATGACAGACTGACAGTTTAGTCTCTTATGTATATGGGCGATGCTTATGGGTTCTATTATGCTCCTGTGAGGTTCCTAATTATCACATTACAAGTTAGCCTATTTAGCTAACTGCAGGGCCCAGTCAAAAGTTTCAGATGGGTTCTGAATCTGTTTTGACTGGAACTAGCTGGTGATAGCTGGATTTCGCTGGTCTTCCTAGTCAGCTAAGAAGCCTAATTTCGTTGGAATGGTCACAATAATTGATATGGGACCGTCAAAGATATTAAGACGGGGCTGTTCATTTTGAACATCGGAAGAAGCTTCTTGCCATTTTATCCCTGCCTTGTGCGCATCAGGGGGTTTCACATCTCTATTTTTGAAGCCCTGTAACTTTGCAAT